TTCAGTTAATTAATTTCTATTCAGTTCTTTCTCCTATCTATGTCATTTTTCTTTTAAGATTTTATTTTTCCTTTTTCTCCCCAAAGCCCCCTGGTATGTAGTTGTGTATTTTTTTTAGTTGTGGGTCCTTCTAGTTGTGGCATGTGGGACACCACTCTAGCATGGCCTGACGAATGGTGCCATTTCCGCTCCCAGGATCCAAACCTGCGAAACCCTGGGCCACCAAAGTGAGAGTACGCGAACTTAACCACTTAGCCACGGGGCCAGCCCCTATCATGTCATTTTCTATACTTTCTATTCCCCTACCAAAAATTTTAATCTTGTTGTTTGCTTTAGTGGGCATTTTAAGTATAATTGTTTTATGATTTGAGGTTGATAATTTCAATGTCATGTTTTTGTTTTGTTTCATTTTGTTTTGTTTTTTTGAGGGAGGAGTGTGTGTCCATTTCTTTGTCTATTGTGTGTGTTGTTTTTCACTCATGGTATTATCTTTCCTTGTGTGCCTAATTTTATTTGACTTTGTGATAATATTATATTAAAAATTGTTTTACTAATCATCAGAGAAATGTAATTAAAAACCACAATGAGATATCATTTCACAATTGTTAGAATGGCCATCATGAAAAAGACAAGAAATAACAAGTGTTGCTGAGGATGCGGAGAAAAGCGAATGCTCGTGCACTGTTAGTGGCAACGTAAATTGGTGCAACCACTGTGGAAAACCAAATTCTTAAAATCTAGCAATTCCACTTCTGGGTATTTATCCAAAGAAAACAAAAGCACTAATTAGAAAAGATATATGCTCCCTCATGTTCATTGTGGCATTATTTACAATAGCCGAGACATGGAAATAATCTAAATGTCTGTCAGTGGATGAATAGATACAGAAACTGTGGTGTACACACACACGCACCTGAATATTATTCAACCATAAAAAAGAATGAAATCTTGTCATTTGTATCAACATGGATGGAGCTTGAGGGCATTATGATAAGTTAAATAAGTCAGAATGAAAAAGATAAATACCATATTATATCATTTATATGTAGAATCTAACAAAACAAACAAACCAAAAACAAGGAATCTCAGCTCATGGATACAGAGAATAGACTGACAGCTGCCTGAGGTGAGGAGCGGGAGGTGGGTGAAATAGATGAAGGAGGTTGAAAGGTACAAATTTCCAGTTATAAAAAGAATAAATCACAGGGATGGATACAGTATGGTGACTATAGTTAATAATACTGTATCGCATATTCAAAAATAGCTAGGAGAGTGGATCTTGAAACTTCTCACGACAAGAAAAAAATTTGAAAGAAAACAATTGTTCGGAAAAAATTTTTGATGCCTTTCCTATAATATCATCCTTAATAGAGGATTTTCCTTTGTTTTTTCCAGACACACGGGAGTCCTACCAGTCCAGAACCACTTTAAATGAAGTTCAAGAGTTGAGTTTTCTTGGACCAACAGGTGATGGAATGTTGGGCTGCATTTTCAAGAGAGGACTTCTTTACTTCCAGCATACTTTATGGGTATAATCCTTTGTAGTGGGTAAATTATCAATGTTCCCCCTCCTAGCAAGTTCCTAATTTGACTTCTATTTGCCTAGTCCCACAAGGCCACCAAAATCACTGCTCAGCCTTTCAACTACTCCTGCAGGAATGGCCAATTCTCTTAGGATAAGTATGCCTTGAATGCCTTAGCTTATATTTCTGATGTCTTGTCTTCTTCCAGATCTTGGTCCAGCAAGTTCCGGGGTATCTTGTACGCTCTTTGATATCTATAGTCCTGTGTTCGTTCTTGATCCTCAGGTTTACATGTGGAATCATTTTGCTACACTTTTTCCTCTTCTTCAAGTTAAGACTTACATTTACAACTCCAACACATATGATAAAATTCAGAGTGTTAGGAAAATATGGCCATAGTGACATCAGTATCCAAGTTCACAAGACTATGTTAATTAGAGAGCCTTCACAAACATCTTAATTATGCACATCTGCTTTCCATATGAATTAAGATTTCCTCCTAGGAATTGTTTACAATGTTAAACATAATCTATGCAAAAAACCTGAGATACTGAGATGTTCAGTTTCTTTAGGAAAGCGATGAGTAAAGATTTGTAGTAAACTATCATATATTAAAATTAGTATCTAAATTCAGAATTTTAGGCATTGTTATCAGCCCTTAATGAAAGGTTTTAGATCGATGCATGGTATAGTTTTAGATAGTTGAAGGAATTCTCTTTCCCTTTTGGAATTAAATCTATTTCTTCCATGCAAAAAGAGCTTAAATATAAGATTTCATCCTATTTTTAAAAAACTTTCATTTAAATTCTATCACAGTAGCTACAGATCAAGTAAATGGAATTTTGAGAGGAATTTTTACTATCTACTCCTAATGGGCAAAATATTGCAGTGCTAGCTGGACAAAGCAGAAAACCAGGAAGCTACTTACCATAATAACAAGTGAGGATTAAGATAGGAGATTGGACTTGCCACTACTTCTGAATATCACGTAGGGTGAACTCTAAAGACACTGTCTCTTTTAGCACTGCTTTAGCACGAGATAGTCTTGCATGAAAGTATATTGTAAATGTTACATGATTCCCAATATAGTATCAAGCTGCAGTCCTGGAAAAGCTTCTATTTATATCTGTTAGGAACAGCTTTTATCAGGAAATATTTTGGCCTCCTGACCAGTCTTCTCATAACCTCCATGAGAGTACCTTCTCTGAAGTGACACATGGGACCTAGGGTTTACTTGTTAAAATGTATGTGGGGCTGGCCCTGTGGCCTAGTGGTTGAGTTCGGAACACTCCACTTTGGCAGCCCCAGTTCGCAGGTTTGGATCCTAGGTGACCTACGCCACTCGTCAGCCATGCTGTGGTGGTGACCCACATATAAAGTAGAGGAAGACTGGCACAGATGTTAACTCAGGGCTAATCTTCCTCAAGCAAGAAAAAAAATGAAAGAGAAAGATTGCCAGTAGATGTTAGCTCAGCACTAATCTTCTTCAGCAAAAAAATAATAATAGTAAAAAAACAAAATGTATGCTAGAATGATTTAAAATATATAATTAGGGCATAAAAAGGGGGAAGATAAAATTACTACCAACTATTGTAGAACCCCAAACTGGGAGAGCTGAACCAAGACACCACATTCATTTAAAACAAATCTTCCTCTGCAGTGGGCTCTTGAGAGCATTCAGCCTTGTGTTTCTCTTGCTTGGATTTGGCCAGTTCCTTTAAATTTTGCCTGACTGTTGGGTCTCTTAAATAAAACCGAAGCCAGCTGTTGAGGTATAAGGATAAGTTTGTTCCACAAAAGTCATGTCTTGACTTATCCACAGTAAGAAAAAAGTGCACTATTATGACACTTGGTTGGGTCTATAGGATTTAAATAGAATAAAAGCTATCAGTCAAAATGTGCTAGTTCTTTTTCTTTTTTTAAAGATTGACACCTAGGCTAACAGCTGTTGCCAATCTTCCTTTTTTTTAAAGGATTGGCACCTGGGCTAACAACTGTTGCCAATATATATATATATTTTTTTTCTGCTTTATTTCCCAGCCCCACCCTGCCCCCGGTACATAGTTGTATATCTTAGTTGCAGGTCCTTCTAGTTGTGGGATGTGGGACACCGCCTCAACGTGGCCTGACCAGCCGTGCCATGTCTGCACCCAGGATCCAAACCCTGGGCCGCTGCAGTGGAGCACACGAACTTAACCACTCAGCCATGGAGCTGGCCCCCTCTGCTAGTTCTTGATAACTGCATTTTACAAGAAATGTAAGCAGAATTCATTTAAGATAAACACTTGTACCAATATTTGTTACCAACTTTTCCCCTGTACTGATCTGTGTTTTTATTTCTTTTAGAATGCACGGTTTAGGAATCACAGGTCTTTATAATTTGGGGATGATTTGAATGGAGGTGTAGGAATATTTAAAAGCTTAGAATTTTTGTTTCATCAAAAATGTTTGAAATGAAGCTTTTAAAATATATCAAAAGATAAGAGTGGAACAGAGAATGGAATTATCCTTGTGGGTTTTCACAGTTAATCAGGATTGAAAGCTTAGCAAGAGAAAAGATGCCAAGAGAATAAAGAGTTAAATTCTGAGCCCAGTTGGATTGAACGTGCATGTGCTAGAGATTTCCAGGGAAGAAGGTGTGCGTTATGCATGAAAAACAGTTGGGAAGAGGCGGTAAGCAAGAGAAACCACTTGGGAAGAAGGGTTCTGTGATATATGCACCAGTGAAATTTCAGCATGTAGAAAGTGTGTTTCCGTTCTTAATCACGTGAAATGAAAGATTGGTACTCAGGTCCAGTTAAACTCTCTCAGGTCTAGAGAATGGGTAAGTGTGATTATTTTTTCCTTCCCTGTTCATCTTCTGCCTTAGTGACCTAACTGGACTGAACTACAACATTTTACATTGTATTAAAAGCTTTCCATGTTCCAGGCGTGCTTTAATGTATCAACTCTTCAAATTTCTCTAACAAACAAACCTATGAGGCAGAAACTCTTTAGAGATGAGGAAACTAAAGCACATGAGAGGTGAAGTTCATTACCTGAGACCAAATGGCTGTAATTGGTAGCCTGGCTCCAGAGCCTGTTTCTTCATTACTTAGATCAGACTCCTGGCTACATACCCTTCTCAGCCTCAGTGACTGCGAGACCACGTAGAGGCTCTTGCTGCACCTTCTATAATTGCTTAGAATCCCTAGAACACTTAAGATTCAGAGAATCTTTTGGCCATAGTGAGCCAAACTCACTTGCCTTTATGTTTTTTGACTTAAAAAAACAAAACAAAAAAAACTCCCCTTATATTCTATTTTAAGGAAAAGACGTTTTATAGATAACTGTAAAACAACTGTGGTGGCCTAGTGGTTAAGATTCTGTGATTTCACTGCCGGCCTGGGTTCATTTCTGGGTCGGGGAACCACACCACCCATCTGTCAGTTGTCATACTGTGGAGGCTGCATGTTGCTGTGATGCTGAAAGCTGTGCCATCAGAATTTCAAATACCGGCGGGGTCACCCGTGGTGGACAGGTTTCAGCGTAGCTTCCAGACTAAGACAGACTAGAAAGAAGTATTTGCCACTCTCTTCCAAAAAAATTGGCCATGAAAACCAAATGGACAGCAGCATAACGCTGTCTGATACAGTGCCAGAAGGTGAGAGAATGGTGCAAAAAGACCAGGCAGGGTTCCGCGCTGCCGTACACAGGGTTGCTAGGAGTCAGAATTGACTCCACGGTACTAACAACAAAAATAAAACATCTCATATACTGCTATGTTCCGGGTACTATTTGATACATTCTGTCATCTAATCCTTGAAGGAATTCGAGGTTAGTATCATCATTTCCATATTAACAAATTTTAGTGCAGACTTGGGATTTAAACCCAGTTCTTTCTGATTTCAAAGCAAGTGTTCTCTTGCAAATTAGTACACAGAAAAGTTAAGATTATATTGATCATAAATGCTGAGATGTTTATAATATTGAATACCTCTGGGGAAGCTATCCACATAAGGCTGTACCTAGCAGTAGAATATGACAATAGGCAGTCTGAGGAAATTCTCCTGCTGGCAGGCTGAAGAACCACTCATTTAGAGATAAAGAACTATTGTACAATTCCTGTACAAATGGTATTTCCATACCTTCTGCTATCCTAAGAAAAGAACAAGAGGGTAGACTAGCCTACGGTTAAACTCTATAGACAAATATCTTCTGCCCTCTGAGGTAGATGGCATTTCTGATGTCACTATTCTCTCAGTGAAGAGTTACTCATAAGAGACACTAGCAGTGGTTTTAATTATGCTCAGAAATGTACGATATTGCACATACACACACACACATGGAAGCACTAATGTAGCAAAAAAAAGAAAAACTCAAGCGAGTTTCAGAAGAAGATTGTTTGAAAACAAAGGAGAGTCAATATACTTGGCCTCCAAGCATGCAGTTCCCTAGAAAGTTGTTGGACAAAAGTGAGGAACGACTCTGACTGCGATGAGAAAGCGGGGTATGAATTGTATCAGGTTAATTTGGTGATAGTAACTCAACTCTTATGCAAATGGAGCAAAATGGAGCTGAAAATAGAGCTGCGAGAGCCGTGAAGGCAAAACTGATTATGAGGCAAGACTGTTATCTTCTTCATACAATATTTGTTGCCAAGATCATAATTAGAGACTTTCTGGATGGGCGACTGCCTAGCTCCATCAACAAATTCCTAGCATTGCATCAGGATCACAAGCCAAGTTGTGATAAAGCCACTGTGCTCTTGCTTTCTCAGCAGATAAATGAGGTGCAAATGCAATAGGGAGACCTTAGAACTCACCATATTTTTTCTTTTCAAAATATATGGTATCATCAGAAGAAAAGGACAATAGCAGTTACTAAGCAAGGCTATCGGGTTTCCCCAAAGGCTCTTAGATCTGGCATATGGTAGGCATTTAATGTGTGTGAAAATATTGGTTGTTGAAATGTTTCACAATGGTATGACTAGTTGTAAAAAAATTAATGTTTCTCTGTACTTGCTATTAACTATAATCAATGGAATCAAAATCAACAAGAGGGTCCAATTTTAACCTATTCTATGCCAGCTTGATTAGAACGGAGCCAGCGACCTGGAAGTAGCTTATAAATATATACTCTCATATTAAGTATTCTTACCACACAAAAAGAAAACAAAATAAAAACAAAGTAAAAATAAAAGGGACACTATATATATACATATATTGGTTAAATGGAAAAAACTCAGGAGGCTATAAATCAATAATAACATGACCTTCTGGGAACTGCTATGTTGTACTGTACATTAAAAGTTACTTTTCGGGGCCAGCCCTGTGGTGTATGGGTTAAGTTCGCGCCCTCAGCTCCGGCAGCCCAGGATTCGCAGTTTCAGATCCTGGATGAGGATCTACGAACCGCTCATCAAGCGATGCTGCGGCAGCATCCCACATAGAAAACAGAGGAAGATGGGCACGGATGTGAGCTCAGGGACCATCTTCCTCAAGCAAAAAGAGGAAGATTGACAGCATATGTTAGCTCAGGGACAATCTTCCTCATAAAAAAAAAGAAAGAAAGAAATAGGAAAAAAAAAGTTACCTTTTATCCAACAGGCCTATACATTAGGTACCATATAGCAGTAATTGTTCTGGGATTATTAAAAAACAATTAAGACAGTAGAACTTTCTTTCAAGAAATTATATTCTAATGGGACAAATAAAAACAAATAACCTGGACACGAGTTCTGAGGGAGCACAGAGGAGGTGCATGCAATCCCGGCTGGGTAGCAGGGAAGGAAAATACACGGGGACGTGTCTTAAAGAATGCTGGGCTGAGCTATGTAATGTTATAATCCAATGTTACTGCAATTAAAAAAATAAATAAAAGAATGCTAGGCTGACAATGAAGGAGAAAAGGGTACTCAAGGTAGATGGGAGAGATGAGAAAACAGACAGAATTTTAAAGAGCCTGATGTGTACAGGAACTTTTCATAATTTTGTATTTCTTTATTCCAAAGTGCAAAAGCAGGAAAAAGCAAAAGCTGGAGAGGGATGAAAAGAATAGTCATGGAGGATATTTTTACCATTCTAAGAAGTTTAAATTTTATTTTTTAAGGTCATGAGAAAGCATGAAAGGGTTTTAAATAGTATGGTCAACATTGCTGGCTTTGTGATTTAGATTTGTGGGCCTCTCTGGGTGCAGTGGAGAATGTATTTGAAAGGACAAGACTGGAGACTCTGACTGAGCAAGAAATAGAAAAGTAAACCAAGCAAGTCAACACTTTCCCTAGGACACTGAGAAGAGTATGTTGGCTAATATGACACAGAACTCCACAGCAGGTGGCACTTATTAAGAGAGATAATAGCATTCCATCTTTTCTATGTGTTTGAGGTCTGGACACTAGACAAAGGTCACTGTCAACTTCCTGAATTATTCATAAACCTTACTTACTTTACATTAAGTGACACATATAAATGTCTAACAATATGGTACTAGAATTTACCCAGTCTGCTCACGTAAATGCTGGCCATACTAAACTGTTGTCTGTTCCCCACTCATGTGAATATTTACGCCTCTGCTCACATTGCATTCTTCACCTGAGTGTCCTTCCTCTCTTGTCTGCCTAGAAAATGCCAGAAATTTTTCAAGGCTAACCTCTTCTGACACTCCCTCCATAAAGCCTTCTTTTTCTCCCTTGACCATTCTCTTCCTTGTGCCACACGACTGCATATAAATACTTCCATTGTAATCTTACCTCTTACTGCTTCCTTACTAAGGGTCAGACACAATGCAAAATACTTTTCACAGACATATAATCTTAAAATAATCTTACAATTTATTTCAGATTATAGATGGAGAAACTGAGAATCTCACAGACATGGGGTAACTTGCTCAAAGTCTGGTGGTTAGTAAGATAAGACCAAGGCTTGAATGTAGGTATGTTGAACTCCAACATTTATGTGATTTTACTAATGTCAAACTATTTTATTTCTTTCTCATATTTTATACTGCAAGAAATTTGAGAACCAAAATGTCATCTGTATATCCCTATGATGCCTGCAAGTAAATAGTGGGTGTCAAAAACTATTGTTCAAATGAATGAATGTTTAGAGCAAGGCCACTGTGTGGGGTAGGTACTCCAGTGGCTAGAATTCCACATAACTGAAATGGGGCAACATCTTGTCAAATCAGCTATTTTGTACACTGAAGCATAATATCTTCCAAGGCTATCCATGTTGTTGTAAATTGTAGGATTTCCTTCTTTTTTAAGACTGAATAATATTCCATTGTATATATGTTTCACATTTTCTTTATCCATTTATCTGTCAATGGATATCTGGGTTGTTTCCATAGCTTGGCTATTGTGAATAATGCTGCAGTGAACATGGGAGTGCAGATATCTCTTGAGATCCTGATTTTAATTTTTTTGAATATCTGCCCAGAAGTGGGATTACTGGATGGTATTGTAGTTCTATTTTTTATTTTTTTTTTGTGGACCCTCCATACTGTTTTCCATAGTGGCTGCACCATTTTGCATCCCTATCAACAGTGTAAAAGTTTCTAATTTAGTGTCATGCTCAGGGAAATCAGTCAGTCACAGAAGGGCAAATACCACGTGATTCTGATTATATGAAGTGTTTAAAATAGTTAAGCTCATAGAGACAAAAAATAGAATGGTAGTTGCCAGGAGGTGGGAGGAGGGGGAAATAGGGAGTTGTTATTCAATGGGTACAAAGTTACAGTTACACAATATGAATAAGTTCCGGAGACCTGCTGTTCAACATGGTGCCTATAGTCAACACCACGGAATTATACACTGAAAAATTTAAGAGTTACCTCATGTTTACATCTCATGTTGAGTGGTCTTGCCAAAAAAAATAGAACAAAAACAAAGCCAAAACAAAAGGACACCAAGGAAACTTTGGGAGGTGATGAATATGTTTACTACCTTGAGTGTGGTGATGCTATCATGGGTATATGCTTATGTCTAAATTCATCAAATTGTATACATTAAACGTATGCAATGTTTTGTATGTCAATTATATCTGAATAAAGCAGTAAAAAACACCTTGAAGCTAACATGAGAAAATCTGATTTAGCTATAGAATTTCATGAAAGCAGGAAACAGGATAATGGCATCTGATCGAGGAGATCTTTTGAAGGACAGGGATGTCTAAAAAATGGTGAGTTTACCACAAACATTCTCAAGAATCTGAAAATATTGGATAAAATCACTAAGAGAAGACACCAACTGTGGTAATAGTGTAGTGAAAGTGCATTTTGCCGAAAAATGTTAAAATTAACTCATACATTTATATGAATTATTATATAAATATTGCTATACAAACATCAATTTATTATGTCAACATTTAAATGCTTACTATATGGCAGTTGTAACTGAGTCTTCTGCCTGACAGTTTATTCTATGACAAATACAAATACGATTCTGCTGAATAAATGACAGTGCCTACTATATAAACAATCACGTGTATGACTGCGCCTACTATATGAGTCACATTGACCATTAGAAAGATAAATGTGATAGATTTCTTGCCATTAAAGAAATTAAAGGCTTGTAAAAGATGTCAGTCTTCTAAAGTAATAGGGGCACTAAATTTGGCTAGAGTTGTGTCATCACCATCCTGAAGCTGCTGATTGAAGCCAATAATTTGGGATGGGATTAATGTTGGGCAATCAATCACAAAGGAGAGACTCACAGAAGGCTTCACAGGGGAAGCACCATTTGACCTGAAGAGACTGGGGAAGCGAGGCGCGTTCAGATAATTGGAGGAGCTGAACAAAGTTGCGGAAACATAGAAACCATTGATACACTGAACAGT